AAAAAAAAAAAAAAAAAAAGAATTCAGGTTCTGGCTTCAGACTACAGCTCCACCACAAGCTGACCTTGGGTAAATTACTTAACCTTGTTTGCCTTATCCATAAAGGATATGCTTTATCCATAAAGGATGATAACAGTACCAACTTTCCAGGGTGGATATAGGAATTCAATGAGATAATCCATGAATGGTGCTTAGAATAAAGTCATATAGCCATCAATAAATGTTATTATTGTAACAATATACTTTCTCTGTTGAAAGGTAGAGGCTATCATAGGACAGATTCGATTGAATTGTTATCTTACTTTTTCTGAAATAACCCTTATATGATGAGACTTTAGGGTACAGAGAAACAGAGTTCTCTTCAACTCTGAAAGAAAGAAAAAAGGGGTTACTTCCCTTCCCTTGCCGCTCCACTTAACAGAGGGCAGCCGAGGGCGGCGCCTGTGGCTCAGTGGGTAGGGCACCGGCCCTATATACGGAGGGTGGCAGGTTTGAACCCAACCCTGGCCAAACTACAATAACAACAAAAAAAATAGCCAGGCATTCTGGCAAGCGCCTGTAGACCCAGCTTCGGAAGGCTGAGGCAAGAGAATTGCCTAAGCCCAGGAGTTGGACGTTGCTATGAGCTGTGATGCCATGGCATTCTACCCAGGGCAACAAAAAGAAGGGCAGCTGAATCTCTGAATTCAGACAACAGGTTTTCTCCCAAGTGACTTTCTGGAGGGTTGGATTAGGCACTCCAGGGCTTAGAGCAGCGGTTCTCAACCTGTGGGTCGCGACCCACAGGAACTGTATTAAAGGGCTGCAGTATTAGGAAGATTGAGAACCACTGGCTTAGAGAAACATCACCAACAATAACACCTGTGAAATGTCTTCAGTATTTTTCTTATCTATTTATCAAAAGATAATTCTATAATAAATATGTTGAACATTACTGTTTTTAAACAACACTGGTACTCTCCCATGAAACTGGAATTCAAGAAATATTAAGAAATATTGCTCTGACACTTTGCCAAAAGGAATGGCTCCCTGGATAAATGACCAGCTTTCAACCACAGGAAGTATTGGAACTTCTTCGGAAGGTCTCACTGCAGAGGTGTGAGACAGAAGATTTGTACATGGGGTGATGAGTTTAGTCTACTAACACCGAAAACTTTCATGGTTGAACCTATTCTTTCTCTAGTACAGAGAGAAATCCCTCCTTTCACCTGACCCAGGCTACTTGAGACATGGGAGGTAAATTTTAATGACATCTGTGGAGGTATATGCTTAGTCATCTTGCACCTAAAGAGAAGGCCGTGGTTCATTTTCACAAACTGGGGGCATCGATCCATAGGTTCATTAAGATACCATCTTATGGGCAGTGCCTGTGGCTCAAGGAGTAGGACACTGGCCCCATATGCCGAGAGTGGTGGGTTCAAACCCAGCCAAAAAACTGCAAAAAAAAAAAAAAAAAAAAAAGATACCATTTTGAATTCTGAGAAGAATGTAAAAGGGTCCCTTTGTGAAGAGACCTTAAAGGTTTAGTGCTTCACTTGGGCTTGTTTCAAATCTGAAGAAAAGGTAGAACTCACCTTCGTATTTGAAAGGAATCTACTAGAGTGTATGGAGAAAGAAATACTGCCACATCCAGAAATGGATTGCTGTCTGAGTACTTGTCAGCACTGCAAACTGATGATTGGTAATTTAGAGTAGATCCAATGAATTTGTCCTTTTCTTTTATTCAGAACTAATTTAAGAATATCTGCCTTTAGAGAGTTGCCTGTTGTCTTATTTCTGCTAAAATTAGTCTGTTCAATAGCTGTAGAATTCAATATGTAGTTTTTACACTTTCTGAAAAATGCACTCAAATAAGCTAAGATATAATGTATAACTTCGAAATGAATTCCTAAACACACAGGGACATTAAGTGGTAGTTGTTTGGATTTACTGGGTAAACGAAATTTACAGTGAATATGCTAAAAAGGGAATCTTTGAAAGGAAATAATTAGTGGCAAGAATGTATAAGGAAGTTCTGTGCTTCCCCCACCCTTTGCCCCAATGGTAACTTCTTACATAACTATGTTACAATGTCAAAACCAGAAAATTGACATTAGTACAAACTTTTTTACTCAGTTTTAAAAAT